GCACTTAACCACTAAGCCACGGGGCCAGCCCAATATTTCTGTATTTGAAGGAGGGAAAAAAAAGGAATCTGGCTTTGTAAGTAAATGATCTGATCAAGGATAGATGAGAGTGGGGAAAGAGGAAAACTGAACAGGAAATCTAAGGGAAAACCTCTATTTTTGTGCTCTCTCTAGGGAGAGAGTCAATATGTCTTAATTTAGGATTATACAAATAAATATTTTAAATCAGATGGTCACCCATCAAGTGACAAATATGCCTAACTTCAGTATTTCACTACCGACTCTGAGTAGGAATACACAGTGGTAATCATTTACCACCCTGCACAAAAGCTGAAACAGAAATTTAAACAGCACTTACTGAAGGCTGAGTAAATCATTAATATCTTTTAGTTCCCTATTCCAGCTTAGAAAATGAAGCTACCATCTCCTTGCCTTCCACACAGAGTTACAAATTTAAAATGAAAACAGGGGCCAGCCCGGTGGTGTAGTGGTTAAGTTCGTGTGCTCTGCTTTGGCGGCCCGGGTTTCGCGGATTTGGATCCTGGGCGCAGACCTACACATCGCTCATCAAGCCATGCTGTGGTGGCGTCCCATATAAAGTAGAGGAAGATGGGCACGGATGTTAGCCCAGGGCCAATCTTCCTCAGCAAAAAAGAGGAGGTTTGGCAACAGATGTTAGTTCAGGGCTAATCTTCCTCAAAACAAAAAAAATAGTTATGAAAACATTATGTTAGAAGTAACAGACCTAAGTATCAAAGGAACAAGATACAAATTCTAGCTCTGCCACTTATTAGCTACATGACCTGGCACATGTCATTTTCAGTCTTCTCATTTCTAAAATGGCAATAAAAATACTTGCCTTAATTTATCTTATAGGGTTATTATAAAAATAAAAACAATAATATGAAAAGTATTCTGTAATTTACAAAGTGGCGTACAAACAGATTAGAAAATATATGTGGAAACTGATTTGGAACCTTTGTAAATGTCAGTTATCTTATATTTTCTTACCACCCTGCAGGCCAACCAGTATAATTAGTCAACAATAACAAGATATAAGAATACACAAGGAAACTAGGTTCCTTCGAGGTTCAACTTGTGAGACTCTAACATGATATTTTCACAAAGTGTTTTGAGGAACACCAGTTCTATGAGATGCTCAAGCGAAAAAACTTTCCATAGTTTAGAGACTGAAAACCACTACAGCCATATTCCTCTTGGAGAGTCACAACACATCCTAACACGTGGAAGTCCTGCAGTGAAGAAACCTGTTTCAGTGCTGTTTAACTCAGCTAATATTCAGAGATGTAAAATTAAAAATACAGCTTATTAAAATCAATTTAACAGAAAAGCAAGTTATTATTAAAGAAAAAAGCAACAATCGCCTTGATAGTACTGAAATTTAGCAGAAAATCTCCATTGATGTTTAGCGATGCCTGTGGTACTCCCACAGCACTCTACTTAATCCCTCTGTGACACTTCACTATAATGTGCCTTTTGTACTTATTAATGGTCTCACTACACTATAATTCTATAAGGGCAAGAACCAGGCCTTTGGGCCGGCCCCGTGGCTTAGCGGTTAAGTGCACACGCTCCGCTACTGGCGGCCCGGGTCCAGATCCCAGGCGCCCACCGATACACCGCTTGTCCGGCCATGCTGAGGCCACGTCCCACATACAGCAACTAGCAGGATGTACAACTATGACATACAACTATCTACTAGGACTTTGGGGCAAAAAAAAGGAGGAGGATTGGCAATAGATGTTAGCTCAGAGCCGGTCTTCCTCAGCACAAAGAGGAGGATTAGCATGGATGTTAGCTCAGGGCTGATCTTCCTCACAAAAAATAAAAAAAAAAAAGAAAAACCAGGCCTTTGTACCCACCCTTCTAAAATGCCCACGATGGAGCTTTGTTCAATACATGTTTCTTGAATTAAACCATCTGTTACTAACTGCCTATAACCAATGCCAATTTATACAATATACCTTTAAAAACTTTAATGATACAGAACAGAGGTTGGCAAATTTTTCCGTACAAGGCCAGAGAGTAAACATTTTAGTCTTTGCGGGCCATATAGTCTCTGTCACAACCACTCAAGTCTGCTGTTGTAGCTTAAAAGCAGCCAAAAACAATGTGTGAGTGGCTGAGTTTCAATAAAACATTATTTATAAAAACAGGTGTCAGACTGGATTTGAACCATACACCATTGTTTGGCCACTCCTAATATAGAAGAATTCCTTCAATATTCCCCAGGTACAATATTGGACATAGCCTACATTCTTATTTTAAAAAGATAAGCCACAAAAGACCAAGACTATAGGAAAAAGAAATATAATCCAGATCTACTTTCAGTCATTCCCATTACCCTCGTGCCCAAATTTAAGAGGTATAAATTAGAAATGACCCTTCACAATGTATATTCCCTCTATTAACCAACTCAGAATAATTTACCTTGTATTTTTCTTTGGCTTTCTCTTTTCCAAGAAGTTTAAGAACTTTATCAGCTAACAGCATGCTCTGTTGATTTTGGAACCCTTCTAATATACACACAGCGGTGACATCTAGAAATGATGGAAAAAACAAGAGTAAGTATGAAATTACTGCAAAGATGATTAGCAGCATCAAATGGACATAATGTTAGCACAGAAAGCCAAATTAAATTCAGAGCCTTATGTGACTATCGATTTCATTTCCAATAAATTGATTCTTAACAATTTAGTTTTATATCTATGACTGAACTCAAAGTTCTCTCAGCAAGTCTCCACTTCTCTGCGATTCACTTTCCTCACCTGTGAAATGAAAGGGACTGTACTGTATGATTTGTTATGTTTCTCACCACCCTAACATTCTACACAGCAAATAAAACAAGGAACCCAGCAATATTCTCTTCTGGCCAGTAACTAAAGGCCAAATCAACATATGTGGCTCTCTCATATCTGATTATTTTTATAGGTCTCAGGGTTATTCCTTGTCTCCAACGCCATCCCGCCACAGAACTCTCAATTTAAATCTGCTTCAAAACACCATTTTCATCTGGTTATGCCACAGCTCAAGATACAGGGATTTGAAATCAAAAAGATCAGCGGTTCCTTAACCTCTCAACCTTGGCTCTTCCCTCTCCTTCTGAACTCAGTTTCTCACGATTCCAAATCCTTGCTCTTCCAAACAAGTCAACCTGCTACATATCCTGCTGATAATCAGACTAGTGCCAACGTCACTGTCTTTTTCCCATCCCATTTCTCCTATCTAAACCCTATTTAATGTCCTCTCTGTAAGTTATTATCTGTTAATAACTTCAAGGTCTGGCTCAAAACTCAGAATTCTCTTTTCCAAAGCAACACTCCTCCCACCCACCAACAAAGTACATTACACCACAAAACCTCAAATTTTTCTAAAATGTTCTCTAAACTGCTCTCACTTGGTAATCCAGATTTTTTAAATAAAATAGTTTTTTTCTCTTAGATAGTAATGTTATTTTTAAAAAATAATAATGGCGAGATCTTCTGATTATTGATGCTTTTAAAGCAGATTTAAATATGTAGTGGAAAGCACTTTTAGATTGTAGAATTAAACTTTGGTTTAGCTCCATGTCACGTAAAAGAATGTACTTTAAAAGCCAGTGGCCTATACTCTAAATGAAGTTTTGGCAGTAGATATGGCCAATCAGAGGCCGCAGAATATTTATAGTATTTAGTGAGAATAGTAAATTCACTTGGTGCTTTGTACCAATCACATAATTTCTAATTGGGTATAAAATAACGTTTGAAAACACCAAAGGCAAAAAACAAATGTTTTCTTTAATGATTCACCTCAAAATTATTTCACATTTATATAAGATATTTAACTGAAAATATGTACAATCTCAGAAACACTATCACTTAGGAAAACCTCTTTTCTGATTTCTTACTCATGGAATTACACTGATGCTGATTAATTGCCAAGTTTAAATGTGTGGTATATAAACTCCAAATCTTAATGCTGATTTAACTCCATACTTGGGAACAGAGACAATACTCAAGTACCAGCAATCTCAATTTAAGCTAGAAAACAAAGTCTCAACTGAGGAAGAGCCAAACTTTTAAATACAACTGACTTCTCTACTCATAAGCAGAGTTTCATATAAATTTACCAATGACTACAAAGCCTTTAGTAATTTTCGTATGTAAATACAAAAATACCCTCACCTTCTAAACATTCCTTCTTATTGTCTAGCTTCTCGTGGGCTTTTGCACGTCTAAAGAGAGCTTTCACATATTTGGGATTAAGTTCAACAGCCTTTGTACAATCTTGTGCCACCTCTTTCCATTTTTGCTGTAATTGAAAGTATTAAAAAAAGTCACACTAATGGAAGCACTGTTTGACAGAAATCAGTTTTCCAATCTTTATAGGCTGAGTATTAAGAGTCCCACAATAGAAAAAAATATTCCCAACACATACAAAGAGTTAATATCCACAATACAACAGCTCATATAAATATGTATAATAAAGACAAGCAACTTGGTTTTTAAAAATAGGCAAGGACATACTTAGGCCATAGCTCTACCACCAAACCTGTAAACCTACCTGCATCTATGTGCTCTTACGCTCTCCTTCTTCCCCCGTCAGTGTTATCATCCAACACTGAGGAAGTGCCCCTCTTCATCAAAGGCCAACCCTCCATCTGTGATCTGGACCCACACTCTCCCCACTTCAAGGACTTCACTCCGGTAGCTATCCCACCTCTGCATCAATCTGCTTCTCTACTGAATCATTCCCACGAGCATAAAAACACTTGCTTAGTATTTTCCATAGTTTAAACCCTCCTTTGATTCCATAAGGCCTGCAGGTACCACCCCATCTCTCAGCTTCTCTTTATTGCAAACCTCCAAAGAGTTGCCACTCTACTTCATTCCCACCCACCTCCTGGATTTCCTTCGCTGAATTCTCCCCTCCACTGCTCTCCACATGCTGGAACCCTCCAGGCCTCTCTTCTCTTGCCCTAAGTGATCACATCTAGTGTCCTGGCCTTATGTAACATCTAAAATTAGATGACTCCCAAGAATATCTCCTTAGCCCAGACCACTCTTCTAAAATAGAGACATTTCTCAACTCAACTGTCTCCTTAGCTGTCTCACTCCTTCCCCACTTTTCCCTCCTCACTATTAAGATTCCTGCTTCTCTTCACCCTTCACCACCAATGCAACAGCAAGTTCTGTTGGTCTCAGCTTTCCAAACATTGCAAGGGTTTGCCTGGTCTGGCCTCCGCTACCTCTCCGATTTTCTCTCTCTGTACTCCAGGATCCTTTATACTAAAGAAAGATAAAGGATCACACCAAAATCTTTCCTGTCTCAGAGAAATTATACATGCTGTTTCCCCTATTTGTAACACTCTCTTCTCCACTGTTTTATGCACCAACCCCACCTCCAGTCATTCCTCTATTACAGAAGCATGTGTTTCATCAAAGCATTTATCAAAATGTCACTTAATAGTTCATTGTTTAGCCATCCTCAAGTTCTATGCATAATTGTTCGCTTTTACAAACAAAGCTCCTACCATAGTAACCTTCCATATATGAGACAGTCAATAAAATTTGGTTGAACAAATAAATGCAGAGAATACAAATGCCCAATAAACATAGAATAGGACAGCCAACTTCAGCAACATCTCAAAAAGCACAAATAAAGACAATAAGAGAGTATTTTTCTCCTAGGACAGTGGCAGAAATTATTAAGACTGATAATACAGTTGGCAAGAATACTGGAAAACAAGCACACTCATATATTATTGTTAGGAGTAGGTATTGATGCTATCTCTTTATATTTCCTGTTTCTAGAATTTTATTCTACAATTTCAGCCTCCCAAAACTATGCAAAAATATTTACTGCAACACTGAATGCAACAGGGAAAACAGGAAGCAATCCAAATATTCACCAACAGGGAGATGTTTTCCACCATACAACCATACAACAGTTACTACACACAGCCTTGAAAAAGAATGAATGTGCTATGCACGTGCCATGAAAAGCTGTACAAGATACAGTGGCAACTGAAAAAATGTTGCAAACAATATATATAATAGGAACTCATTTTTGGTCTTTTTTTCTCCCACATATGCTACTATTACATTTATAGAGATAAAAAAGTTGAGAAAATAACCTAAAACTATTGAAGAAGATAGGGTCACCAGAAGCTTTAACTTTCTGTTTATCTAACTTTATAAAATCTTATATATACAACTTTAAATTTGACCAGCAAAAGTAAAATTTGTTCTTAAAAAGTTAGGTAATTAAAGGACATAAAAACAAAACAAAAATCCTATAATTTCAAAACAACTTCAAAAAATTTATTAGATTTATTTGAGTGGCATTAACTGAAACGTTATGCAAATAAAGAGAAACAAAAAGAACAGAAAAAACAACCTAGGATACATACCAACTGCTCAAAGGCAGCAGCTCTGTTTTGATAAAACGTGGAAAGGTCAACGTTCTTCTCTGTAGGGCACAAGCTGATAGCCTCGGTATAGCACTGAATAGCTTGTTCATATTTTCCTGCTTTAAAATATTTGTTGCCTTTGTTCTTGGCTGCCTGGGCTCTATCAAGAGAGTTCTGAAATGAGAGGAAACCAAAAACACTTATCAATACACAGGAATCGATTCAGATCACAGTGATTAAATGATAAACTGACAGAAGAAAAACGGAAGAGTAGAATGGCTGTTTTTAGTGCAAGTTGCTTCAAAACTGTATCTTCATGGGATAGAGTTCTCAGTAGTAGGATTGCTAAGTCAAAAAGTTTATATATTTTTAATTTCAAAAACACTCAGATTTTTCACAAAATAGGCTATAGTTCTTGAAATTACCACTTTCCCGCCATTCCTGCCAGCAACAGTGTGACAGCTGTGTTTAACTTTTTTTTTTTGGTGAGGAAGAGTGGCCCTGAGCTAACACCTGTTGCCAATCTTCCTCTTTTTGCTTGAGGAAGATTGTCCCTGAGGTAACAGCTGTGCCAATCTTCCTCTATTTTGTACGTGGGATGCTGCCACAGCATGGCCTGATGAACCGTGTGTAGGTCAGCGCCGGGGATCCGGACCTGCGAACCCCAGGCCACCGAAGCAGAGTGTGTGAACTTAACCACTACGCCACTGGGCCAGCCCCAGCTGTGTTTCATTTTTGCCAGTCTAACGGCTATAAAACAGCGGTTCTCAATCAGCGGTGATTTTACATTCTTGGGCACATCTGACAATATATGGAGACATTTTTGATTGCCATAACTGAGGTGGAAAGGAGGTGGTACTGGCATCTAGAAGGTGGAGGCCAGGGATGCTGCTAACATTCTACAACACACAGGACAGCCCCCCCACAACAATGAATTATCAGATCCAAAATGTCAATAGCGCCAAGGCTGAATAACCCCTATAAAGGTTTACCCATATAAAGTAATATTCCAACATTATTTTCATTTTCCTCACTATCAACGAACTTGAAAATCTTTTCATGTTTATTGGCCACAGGCTTTCTTACTCTGAAAACCACTTATTCACGTGTAGTCGCTATTTTTCTATTAGGCTGTTTGTCAACAGTTTAGAATAGATAGTAGAAACATGTTGCCATATTCATTACAACTGTTATCCCAAATCTGTTGTTTGCTCATCAATAAACTTTTTGCACTCCTATCTTTGTCTCAGAGTCTGCTTCCTGAAGGATGCAATTTACATACTTCATGTGTATAATATAGAAGAGTTGGTAGTTAACACCCACTGAGGACAGTGGTGAATACTTCAATTAACATTTGGGAAGCATCTCTGTAGACAAATCCAGTTATCCAGGTTCCATCTACAAGAGCTCTGTGGCATGTCTTTACCCAAAACTTTATTACATCATCCAACTTCAACAAATATGCGATTATGAAAGAATCCATATATCTCCAACAGGTAAGCACTGACAAAGCAAAAGCAGAGGTAGCTGCTCCCACAAATAACTTACAGGGGCTGTCCAAGCCAAGTTGCTTAGGGCCCAGGGCATCTCAGTCATAGAATGAGATAGCAACCCTTTCTTGCATCTGCTCTTTTCTCCCTTACTCTTGCTTCATTTTTCTTTGCTGCTTTTTCCCTTCATTTACCTTTTGTCTCCCTTCTCCTTTAGTCTGACTACAGCTATAGTTACTTTTAAAAAGTATAGTGTGCAAAGGAAGATGTGTAGGAAACTCTATGTATCTAAGTTCAGTATATTAAACAGCTAGTTCAAGCTAGCCAGTGTCAACAAAGAACATGCATATTTTAAAACTAGCATGTGGGATGATGAAAGGAACCTAATAAAGCAAAAATAAATTAATAGATAAATATAAAATCTTCCATTTGTCAACACCCTTAATCATCTTTCAAAAACTGCGACAGAAAAAATCCTTGGCACAAAACATCCATAATAGGAGACAACTAGGAATCTCTTATGTAGCTTGGGCTCTGCAGGGCAACTATCAAGGTGATTTCTGGAAACTGCATTTGAAGCAACCTGAACAGCCCTTCCAGTCCACTGAGGGAAGCAGAAGTCAGACTGGAGCAGGGCTGTGCCATCCAGAAGGAGTGAGGATCCCCTACTCTCAAGAGACAAGTACCAGGCATACCTTGTCTCCATCTTCCAAGAGACCACACTGTGAAGAATTGCTAACATTAAAGGAAAATTAATACCATAAAAGAGAGGTACCCAACTCAAATAGAAAACTAGTATTTGGGAAAGCAGGATAAACCAAGCAAACAGAAAAGATAACATCAGAGGAATGACAGCCTATCACAGTCATTAAAAAAAAAAAAAAAGCCTGCTTTTAAAGATTTTATTTATTTTATTTTTTCTCCCCAAAGCCCCAGTAGATAGTTGTATGTCATAGCTGCACATCCTTCTAGTTGCTGTATGTGGGACTCGGCCTCAGGATGGACGGAGAAGTGGTGCCTCGATGCGCACCCGGGATCCGAACCCGGGCCACCAGCACTGCAGCGCGCGCACTTAACCACCAAGCCACAGGGCCGGCCCAAAAAGCCTGCTTTTAAAGAGCACCAATTAGACATCTTGAAAATTAAAAATGTTAAATGACATGGAGTATAAATCCAGATGTTCCAACCTCTATCTATTTGAAGTTTAGAAGGAAATGCACAGAAAGGAGTTTCTAAAGAAATATTAGAAAAATTCTTGGAGTTGAAAAGTGACACACATTTTTAGACATATTATGGTGAAATTTCACAACAAAAATCCTGAAAGTTTTTAGACAGAAAAAACAGATTACCTACAAAGGAAAAAGAAACAAACTGGTGTCAGACTGTCACCAACATTAGGTACTATAAAACAGTGAAGTAACAACTTCAAAGTTCTGAAGAAAGATGATCTTGAACTTAAAATCTTATACCTAGCCAAACTAGCATCTACGGTGAACACAGAACGGAAATAGAGGTGTACAACTTCCTCACCACTAAAAATAAACCGCAAAGTGGGGCACATGATCAATACAGCAAAAAGGAGGAAAGGGAGGGTAAAGGAAGAAACAAAAAAGCAGAGTACATATGGCAGGAACCACTAAACATGTCAATACCAATAAATGTGAATAGGTTAAATCTCCATATTCAAAAAGTTTCAAACTGTTTAAAATAAAAAAATAACTACATGCTGCCTATAAGGCATGACTTAAAACAAAACGACAGGTCAAAAAAGAATGTAAAAAAGTTACAGAAGGCAAATACTAACAAAAAGAAGGCAGTAACATAAAATACCATTCAAAAACCTCAGATGGAACACAAAAGGATAGTTTTATCAATTAAAGGTACAATCTGCCAAGAACACATCAAAACCACGAACCTTTATGTGCCTAATAAAACTTCAAAATAATGAAACAATTACTTCTGACATTTAATTTCTTGCAAAAAGGTTACAGTGTTTCTAAGTCATTGAGAACATGGCTAACACACTCCTAAAACACTAGGGACTGTTCATAAAGAAAATAATGTGGCATATTAAATGCATATGAAAAGTATGTTTGAGTACAAAACACACTGAAGATTTATTTAATATTTTTACTAAAGATTTGCAGATTAAATAAAAAGAACATTCTCTAGGCAGAGTAATGACCTTGTTTCGTCAGCACAAACAGGCAATGAACTCGTTCCTGTCTACTAGAAGTTTAAGGCTAACTGACATCAACAGATCCAAGAGGCAGTCATAGCTAGGGCTGACAAGTTAAAAGAAGAGAGAAATCTGGAGAGACAGGTACACAAGGCTTCCTCTTCTTAGAAAGATGCATACTTCTTATTTTTATTCAGCAAAGTCTAAATCAACCTAAAAACCAACTGAATCTTTCAATTAGCTATTTCCCTCCATTTGGTTAAGTTTTATAATAGCTTCCTTCAAAAATTATTACAAATTCTTTAACTCCTAAGGCCAAAATCAGAGCCTGCTGAATTTCCTTTCCTTACTGAAATATAGAAAAATGATGTTCTGAATGACACTGAGTGGAAAAAGATCCAATTACACAGGCAAATCACCAAATTGCAAATCTTCTTCCACTGCTCCTCCACTGCTGCTCGGGAAAGCAACCATACCAAACTTCCGGACAGCATGAACCTGGTTAACATCCCCAACACCTTCTGCTCACAGCCCTCCATTACTTTCTGTCCAGCTGCTTCCCTTCATTCCATGTTCCTTTCATCCACGTTTTATGAAGAATAGGAATCTTTATCATTAGAATCACACCGAGACTCACACTCAAACTGAAACAAAGGAAACCAATTCAGGCATCATATCTTGTTCACTACTGACTTCAGGGCAAAAGGGCACTAAGCGAAAAGACAAAGAGAATCATTAACACAATTAGATCCTTCTTTTTGCCAAGCCAGTATAATTGAATTCATTTTAGTTACAAGCACATCTGATGTGACTCCGCTCTACAGCTACCAACAGGATAGTCTTTATCCTGAAGGAACGCCAGAGGCCAGTGCAGGAAACAAGTTAACTAGCAGCCTCTCAAAAGAACTACCACTGATCAAAACACTGAAACCCCAATTCACGTTAAGAAAATGTACGTCAGGTGCTTAGTAAATTGTACAGCTAATAACCAGAAAATAATTAGTCCAAAGAGTAGCAACTGCATATATACACACACATACATCGAAACCTATTTGGGTAAGACACAGGGGTAAAAACAAACAACTCAGGTGATAAATCTAAAAGGAAACAATGAGAAACATAGTAAATAAGTACATTTTCTCTCTCTTCAACAAACACTGTGTGCTGAAACTTGTCAAACATGAGGCACAATCTAGGAACCTGCCCCCACACCCTTGGCAAATCTACTCTGGAAAGCAAATTATACTTCAAGACCAAAGCTACAGATATTAAGGTATAATCTCAGTAACTTTAGTGGAATACAAAGTAAGAAACAATCAGGGTCTGACAGTGAAAGTTACTTACAAGAATATGCTCTGGAATGAAAATGACTAACAAAGGACAGTCAGGAAACACGCTCCGAAGTATTTAGCTTGCACCCTGAAGAAATTTAGGAGACCAGAAAGGACTTCTAAAACAAGTCCTGTGATAGTAACATGACATTACAGAAGGCTTTCAATGATATA